CGATTTTAAAGCACATTTTAGCTTGTTTTTGAAGTGGTGGCGGGACTAAACCCATTTTATACAAGTATGATCGATTTGAAATGAAATTATTATTTTTTATTGATTTGAGCATGCCTTCTTGAAGTTTACTTAACTACCCTGATGATCTGAAAATTATTTGTGAATTATGATTTTCCTGTTAACTTCTGTCTGTTTTGTCTCTGATATGGTCATGTTATTCGTGTGCCCGCTAGTGGGAGGTTTATAAACGGTAGCACATGTCAACATGTTACTGATAAAATCGGTTCATTTCTGTTATCTTGCTAATGGGATTATACACTAGTAAATCGTGTGCCTGTCAGTGGGAGGTTTATAACACTGGCCATGACCTATAGAGGAGACATCTATTTCGTTTTCGTACTCGTACCTGTTTTTCATGATTATACTGGTTAGCATGCTATAAGTTTAATTAAGGGCTATTCATATTTACTTACTGAGTTATCCCATAGTTTTTCCTTATCCACCATTTCAGGAAGCGAAGTCAAGGACGGGGGAAAACGAGGGGAGTGACTAGTTAGAAGTCTAGCCATCTTGTAAATTGAACATAGATTTTAAATATAGATCATGATCTTGTAAGTTAGATTTTAATTAGAGACTTTATAAATTCATTTAATGGATTGTTAGTTTACAAGAGATTTGACCTTGAGATTTTGAGCATAAATCATGTTGGACATAGAATTATTTTGAAATATCTGATTTAAGTTATTGGATTGTCAGATGTGAATTGGATAAGTCCCGAGCCTTGTGCATTTGTGGGACCCTCTCACAAGTGTACGGTGTGTGTTACGCCTCGGATTTGGGTTTTGGGGCATGACAAATTTAGTGGTATCAGAGCTTAGGTTTAAATTAAGAGCTTAGGATTAAATTAAGCACCTCCAGATTTTGTGGTATCAAAGTGTAGGTTTAATTAAATACCTAGGTTTAATTGAATACCTAGGATTTGTTTAGAACTTGGCTGGCCAATGGATTTTAGAACCGTGGTGAGACGAGTGATGGGGTTATATAAGGGACGATTCTGATTCATGTTGCCTGAATTTTCTAATCCATTTTGATGAGATGGTAATCTGATTGTTCTTGTTCCTGCCTTAATACCCTGTGTAGATTCATGAAAGTAATCCTGCCTGTTATGTTCATAAGACCTTGTTTTGAAACTTGGTCATTTTCTGATAGTCTGCACTAGTTTAGATTTTTTACTTGAATAGAATTTTTGTATGCTCTTTTGCCACAATTGTAAAATCTGGGGAGTTGCAAAGATCTTTTGTTATTGATTCTGTTGGTCTCTACAGCATAGCTGGTTGAGAAATTTGTTCTGTTTGTCACATGACCAGTGGAAGATGGGCAACCCTCTACTTTGTAAGAGATTGAAGGCTATTTTGGCAATGTTGTGTGTTTTCTAGATGCGTTTTAGGAGCTGGATAACTTGGTAATTTCGCTACTCATTATCTTTCTGAAAGTCTTATAGGGAAGTTTCACTTTTTCCATTTGGAGCTTCATGGTCTTTTCATGTGGCTCATTTTTCTATATTGGTTAATCAAAAACAATGATCCATTCAATTGAAATTGCCTTGTTTTTGTGAAGATTGGCAAGCTGTTATAAAGTTAAACTCTCTATTGGTGCTAACCTCTACATTCTTGATACTTGGAACTACTTGAAACTCTTGAGATCCATCTTAAATAGTTCTTGAGATTGCTTTGTACTTGTTCTTGAAACTGAAATCCAAAGGAAGTGGATCATGATTATTGAAATCCTCATTATCTTGATACTTGTCTGAAATTAATTCTTGCATTATTCTTGGAATCTTATCTTGAACCTTGCCTGGAGTAAAGTCATGTTAGCATATTTTTCTTGAAAATCAATTGATATTTGGTTTTTGGAATCTATTTTGAATTGTCCTTGAAAACCATTCTTGTCCTGATCCTTACTCTTGTTCAAATTTTGTATACTGCTCTTGCTCAAATCCTGAATATTCTGCTAGTTCTTGTTTCAATATACCTGTTGCTCTTCTTGATTTTTAATTTTTGTTCATATGGACACTTTTTTAGAAGGGGTGATGATTATTAGAAAATAGCTATATGAGGCATCCTAATTCCTGTCTCTTGCAAGTGTTAATCTTTGTATTCTTGATGTCTTAGCTTTGAATTGATTCTAGGATGTCTAGGATGACTTGATTGTAAATCTGCTTAGCCTCCATGGACTACGAGGTGAAGGGGTAGTCATTGAAGTACTTGACACCCTAGAGTTTTGCTCCAAGAGAAATGGTTCTTTTATCTAGCTGTTTTGATTTTTGTTTGCCCTTTTAATTAGAAGACAGTAATCTTCTAAGTATCCTGATCCCCACTATTGATTATTCTGTTAATTAATTCGTGTTACTTGGGGTGCTAGATCTTGACATCCTGGTTATATCTACTCTTGAATTTGTGTTCTGGTTGTCATTATTGAAATCTCTTTTGTGGGCCTAATCCTTGAATTCTATTGCTTGTTTCATGGTTAACTCTTGTCTCT